ATTAGAAGAGGAGAAGGAGGGAAAGTATGAAGAACAAAACTGCAGCGAAGAGTGAGAGGAGAGATGGATGAAAACAGTGGGGGGGGGGGGGGGGAGATGACTGAGAAAGGAAGTGACCAATGAAATATCTTTTCCAGCCTCTTCGTTTCCTTACCAGCTTTCGCTTGACTAACTTCCGTTCGCGCACCTGAACAACAGTGAAGATGATTCAGCAGGATGGATGTGTTAATTTAACGGATTAAACGTTTTACTTATCTCCTTTCACGTTTAAGAGCCGAGGCTATCGTGGCGTCACTCCATGCAGCAATAAACAGCAAGTGAAATCCATTTACTACCGTTAGATACCATTAGTTGCCGTAACAACCGGTGCAAATGTCACGAAGCAAATCAGACGGCATTAGTCAACCTAACAGACAACAGTGGTAGTGGGAATTTAGAACAGAATGTGATAGCTGGTGCAGGTTCTATCTAACCAAGGGAATCCGTTGACGTCTGAGGAGGATTTCAAATACAGAACGAGGGTGGGATGCTCAGCTGCTCAGCGGTAAGGCATTTAAATGGTGCGAATGCTTCAAATGTCAGTAACGATTCCAATTGTAATAATTCTCAATCCCACAGAATAGTAGAAGTTTTCATTAAAAGCGGTGTGTTTCTAGAGTTGTGTCAAATTTAGGGTTTTTTCCAAGAGGACTTATTGCCAACCAGCAGATAATATAAACCTGGAGTACATTTAATTGACAGCCTCCCAATGTAAAGAGAGTCAAGTCCAGCACAGATGATAGCAAGATATCTCTCTTTGACGTCGATTAGAGTAGCAATGTCAGTGTGGATTTACATAGAGGAAACAAATTAGCCACCTAATTGCTAATCGAGGGATTTACTCAAGGGAGACCCCTAGCTGCATAATTCAGTAGTGAGATCATTCTCAGGGAAATTTACATCAAACACACACACCGATTAGATAATTATGAGCTGCGCAATTGTAAATTAGTCAGGAGGAAGGGAGAAGAGCATTTCTTCTAATTTAATTCAACCAGAGCAGAGCGGAAAGTACTTAATGGGTCAACAAAGCTTGAGTACAATGCACAAGTTGATGATAATTCAGTCATCGCTTGGTAATTCATATACATTCATGTGACAACTCGTATTCACCCACCCCTCTCCAGTCATGAATAGGTAGAGTTGAGGTGATCGTGTGAGTGTTTTAGCACTATGCAGTTTGCACGACCTAGTACTGGTCGACTTGTCAAATGCCAAGAGTAGGGATAATTAATTGGGATTTGGAGAAAATATGAGGGGCAATACGGAGGATAAGGGAAGGCTCCGGCTTTTCCTCCTTACTATCTTATCCCCAATCAAATGTGCAAATCTTCTTTGCACCAGTGAGTTTTAGAGTGCTAATAAGATCTTGCGTCGTCTTCAGGGAATTGTATACCACGTATACACCCACGCAATGGCATTTTAAAAGTTCCTGTCGAGAACTACGTAAAAAATAGCATGAGTACTTTTGGCCACCTAACATTTCTTCAGGTAGGTAAGGTGAAGTTTTAAAGCTCCACTCTTTCTTTCACACAATCTACAGGCCTCAGAAGATAGTGACCTAGAAGTTGCAAAAACTATTTGACCCTCAAGATCGCCCGATATTAACCCCCACAGAAACTGACTCACCTTCTCCTTCTCATTGGCCTCACGATCCACGACTGAGCCCTGAAAAAGAGAATGAAAAAAAACTAAGTTGGAGACTGGTAATTATGACGAATGATTCGACCAACAGCACAACCACCACCATCACCATTGTCAACAACCACTCTTTTGGCAGAAATAGATTAGAAGCAGTAGTTCTGAAGTGCTGGTAATCACAAAAAAATAAAACAAGCGTAGCAAATTGGGTTGGGTAATGCGATATACGGTATTCACCAGTAATTGTTATTAGCAACCACTCTGCACTGGTGCTGCCATCAATGGCGCGGCTAATTCGCCTTCTGCCACTAAAATTAGGCACTGAATGTTTATCGAATCAGCCCCACCGCCACCACCACCTACTCCCCCTCTCGCCGCCAGGCCAAACCAAACCAACTCAGCCCCGTCTCGACCCGCCTGCCACTAGGCAGCAGCAGGGGTGACAAAGTCACGCACGACGAAAAAAAGCACTGAATTGCCGAATTAGGTGAAATTTTGGACCTCAACAGCAGAGGAAAAAGGGTAAAAGTATGAGTTTGCGCCGATTCGTGCATCAAAAATGATGTCAAATTATGACAGGAAAGGCAGCAGATTGCTCAAAGATGGAGAAATGGAGAAGCGATGTGCTATGACCTATTCATTTAAGTAACATTAGCTAATGATAACTGACGCCAGGAGCGAAATTTGAAATAATCGTCTTTGAAACTTCTTTGGCCATACTCAAAAAATGGTGGATCTAAAGCGAATCTTGAAATGGTGAGATATGCAGTGCCTCAATGGATAAGTAGAGAGAAAGAATAATACAAAACTTCCATCATTTACTTTCACACAAGGGAAGGGGAGGATTAAAAACCCTCTTCAGTTCTCTGCATTTATATGTAGAGTTGTGAATGCGTGCCAATACTTACGTCCGGCTGTTACATGACCAGGTCTAGGTGGTACTTGCGATTCAATAATGAGTTGTCAAAAGTGAGCATTCCATTTTGAGCAAGCGGATATGTCGTCAGCACGTGCACTCGGCGTCTTTTTTACAATGAAGCGACTAACACCCTTGAGAATGATCCTAGTGGATTCTTAAATCGGCTTAATTACAAGAACATGCCCCCCCAGGGAATGAAGGAGAGAAGCCTGGAAAAGGAGCAATTGATATGTGATCGGTTGATTCATTTATGGTGGCCTAACTTCAACAAAAATGTAGCTTTGCAAGGTGAGTTTCCAAACGACTGGGCTGACAGGGAGGAGTGTAAGCGTGCAGCGGAAAAAATATTAGACCACCAGCCATCCCAGATTTCAAAACATAACTAAGAAATCGTGGAAAAGAGACGCCAAAAGGTAGCATCTTCGTCACTAGGACGTCAGGAGAAAAGCGACCATCACAGTCCAGACGTTTTTTTATTCCCAATATGACCCAACCACCTCAATTCCTGACTTATTCGCCTTCAGATCAAAAACGTTCTACAATTGCTTTACCGTTTGAAACTCAGCCAACTTGCTCGAGGCACGAGTGAGTCCGACTGGTGTTCATGAACTGAAGAATAACAAGTGACACATATCTGTGACGCCAGAATATGGGTAGGAAAACTACCACCAATACAATTACACCAACGCCAACAGCAGAAACGAGTGTCAGATAGGAAACGGAAGACAAAAAAGTGGAGTATGTGTTTTTAGACCTTAAAAATACCAAAGGTAAAAGAGATGTGCCTTCGCCTCTGCACACACCGGTTAGTCAAGTAGAAGCAAAATGACAAGGTTGGTGTCTACGGTAGCCAACTCACAGAACGTTTGATGCAGGTGAGGATGCGGGAGCTACGCTGAAAAGTCGATAAGAGAGATAGAATGGGACTCGGAATCGTCATGGACTGTGCGGTGCAGTGATACCACTCTCCTTTGTGGTGCACAGGTGCGGGTGACATCTGAAGGAGGGGATTGATGTAAGCATGAAATATTTGCTGATTACGAAGTAAGCGAGGTAAGTTGTGCAGAGTGCTCCACCTAAGGTAGTGGTGATAAAACCGGCAAAACACTCAAGACAAGCTCTTCCGATTCTAGAATAATGCAATCCCATAGTTCTTCCACATGATATACATAACTCATTCGAAGTAAACTTCTCGATCATGAGATCGGCCGATCTGCGATTATCGAAAAGAATCCCTTAAAACTTACCTAACAACGAAAAAGATACCAATATCCACTTCCACTACCTCAGCCCCAGCTCATCTGTGCTGAAGGTATCCCAACAATCGACTAAAATGAGCCTCCACCTCACTCTGATCATAAGGTATTCTACCTATCCACCCGGAATCTCCGCATTTGAAACGAGAAAAATAGCCGATCTAGGGTCATTGGAAAATTAGAGCACTTCAACAATCGCCTAGAAAGGGCATTTGAATAAAGTCATATCAACCTCGCCAAAATTAGGTATTACAGTGCTTCCCCAGGTCCAAAGGACGATGATGTGAAGTGTAAAGCCGCGAAATCGCAATGCGAACCTTAAAAATGACCCCTAAAGTGAATTAAAGGCGAGCAAAATACTGATCGAAATGGGGGGCTTCGGACTAGTCACCCCTCAAAATCACGAGGGAGATCAAAATGATGCCACACGACAATCATAGCTCTAGGTAGCCATAAAGTCAAAATCAGGACTCCCATACTTCTAGAATCCATCAAAAAACCGGAAAGACTCAATATGCGGTAAAGCGAGTATGTGCAGGCGAAATCTTAGAGAAAGCGCGCGTGTACGTGGGTGAGAAGCCTGTCTACAAGCATAAACTATAAACCTTTGAGGGGACCAGTCGACCAGTAACCCCGCACAACGGAAGTGGAGTAGTCATCGTCGTCAACGTCACCGGCATTGTATATGAGGGAACTGGAGGCTTTAAAAGGTAAAGAGATTTAAAGAAGAAGAATAGTGACATACCTTGAGATCATATTTCCGATGCACCGTGACTCGTGGACTGAATACGTTACGCATTGCGAGAAGGTAGGTGTCCTGATCATTCACTGTAATACGATACATTCCAAGGTATTGCGGTAAAAGCGTTTGTCCGTGCACATTGACTATATACTAAAGGGGAGGGGAAGAGAAGGAATAAAAATGTCATGGTTTCCGTGATCTAACAATACAGTCCTTACAAGATGCACTGATCTGAATGACCGACTAGTCATCCGGCATATTGACCAGTTATGGTCCGACCTCGTGATGGACAAAGACATCGAAATAAGTACTATTAATTACTTTGGTGAATAGTCAAATCCAAGTTCTTCATTCCCCTTCCCCTTTATGACAAAGGCAAAAAGACAGCTTTCGAGACGATTGGTTCAGTTACCTTCCAATGCTCGTTTAATCAAATCTGACACCAATGAAAAAGAAAGAATCAGCTTCAGAATTATCGGCTTTTCATTTGCGTTCTAACAGAGCCCCTCCACTTATTACGCAGTTAGTCTCCTTACCCTCACATATTGACAGAAGGGTGCTAAGCTCACTCATGCTTTAGGCAATCGGTAGACTTCGCTCATTACGATAAATGTGGAGATGAAGTGTGATAAGAGGTTAGCTGAAATAGCCGAAAATCTGAAGAGGGAGTGAAAAACTACACACAGACATCCAACTCATGCAACTATCGTCCTGTTACCGTCTCATCCGCATTAACAGAAATGACGAATAATAGCTGTTAGGGAGAGTAACGAGACAAGTGGGATAAAGAGGCTACATCGTATAAAATCAGTGCCCTCGAGCTAGCCTCCTCAAAGTGGCATCCCTCGAGGGGCGGTGATAGGGCAAAATTTGCATAACTTATAGCTCTATTTGGATTTGTGGGAGTTGGGTTTAACGAACGATAAATACCGGAAAGAGGGAGAGCCTATTTTAAAGTGGAGACAGATTTTAAACTTCACGTCCCGATGGTTGCGCAACTTTGATTTTGGGGCAAGGAGGTGGCTGCTCACAGGCAAAATCCCCTTTCAGCAGTATCAAGGTATCGACCATAGCCCAGATAGTGGCACTGTATGATGCATTGCAGTTCCAATACAAAAGCAACTACGGAGACTGCCATCACTTTTTTCCCATTTGGAAAACAAAAGTTTACTTGGAAAGAAAGAATCTTCACTTGGACCCATCATTCAACCGTTCAATAAATCAGTAACGTCTCATCAACTGTGTGCAGTACCTGATGAGAAGATGAGCTAACAGAACCCTCCGCCCAGAGATAGAATTGATAAATGTGATTCTGGTGATGAATTAGCAGATGATAATGCATGATTCAGGGAGACCCACTGTTTCGTCGATTAAAATAACTCAAGATTACCATATGAAGAACACCTTTTGGGAGGGTTTAAAACGGGTGATGAAACAATTTGCGACCACCTGCATCAACTGAAGAGGAAAGATTGGGAGAACCTACTACACAAGCACTAAAAGATGACAAGAGGCTTAATTTTTTTTAACGCGGTGTTGGGAGAGGATTGCAGAGACTTGAGAAAAGATTTGATGAGTAAAACGTTAAGCAAGCATTCCGAACATTTCATGCTTCTTAGGCATGCAACACCTCATCACTGGAAAACTATCCTTGATTCGTTCTAGAGTATGACAAATTATAGATGAGTTTGTTCACTTGCTAAAGGCCAAATAACAAACTCCTCCAACTCATCCCCTCACCATCTTCTTCCTCCTCACACACAAGGATTCGTGAATCAGAGTTAAAAAAGGCTCCGTTCTTACGAGACAACACAACGCTAGACCCCAGGCGGCAAATCTTTTCTGTGGCAAAATCAGCACCATGCAGTGAGACAGAGTTGGGTGAATTTGGAGGTACTGTCCTCCCTCGTCCCCCGCAATACATTCTCTTCGTACCTATCCAAGCTGCCAGTGAGTAGCGCCCCCTCTTGACACTAGACGTGCCAAATAGAAATGAAGGTGGCTGGAGTGACACCTAGGTCGCTTGCAGACAAAAAACTGGCCCGTAAAAGTGTGCACTACAAGAGATACAACTTAGAAGCCTGTTAGTCGTTTAATTCTTGTTCAAGCAGACCCTCACGCACTTGTGTGGTTGCACTGCACGAACAGAATAATGACCATAACCTGACCACAGCGCCGCCGTATTAGATGGTTGAACTAACCTAACTGCAGCTCCGTTTGGTTGCATTCTGTTCCGTACAGCAAGTAACAACAGAAACTAAAATAGTCTGTTCTCTCCACGAAGTAATGTTAATAAACAATGCAAGATTCAAGACAGTAGAGAGCCCAGACTCAATGTGAGAAGGTGAAGTGAGTAGATATTTCCTATAAAAAAAATTTAATCTTATTCAGAAAAGACTTGTATTCAAGAAAAAACACGTGCCCTTCCAAAGACCACAACGAAAGCGATGTGGAGCGTTGAAAAGAGGAATTGACAAAGCTATGCTGAAGGTCATCTCCAGATCAGTACATTGATCAAGTGACACTAGAGGAGACGATTTCAACATCAAATACATCCTCGAAGCAAACAACACTCAATCAAGTTGCCATCGTTATCATCCAGATATGTTAAAATCATTCATGAAAAACTAATGCCAGGAAGATTACCTCAAAATTCAAATTTCAGCTGTCAACTTCATATTCACCATTAGGATTTATCACCTAAATTACCTTAGGAGAGGTAGACAATGGGAAAAAGGGAAAATGGTAAAAAACAAGAGAAGATGGTCTTCTTCTCTCACCTCATGGTAGTTTTCAATAAAGTTGTGCATTTGTTCCACCTCCTCCGAGCTGATCATCTTCAGTACGTAATGCCTATTGTACGTCACCAGTAATTTGGAGCCCGATTTACTGCTAACGCTGTCCCACAGTGGTTGGTAACGCGTGAACGACTCCTAGATGGATAGTTCAAATGATTACCCACTTACCCAGTAGTCGTTTGTGTCCACATTGAACCTCTCCCGCAGGTTCTGAAATGCCAGTGGACAGTACTCCTTGAACTTGAATCGACTTGGCATATTCTCTCTATACACGGAATAATGAAGTTGTCGGTAGATGCCCTACTTGTTAAACAGATGGCCCTTCACTTTAATTTTGAGATAGGCCTTAAAGTCATCCTTCATTAGTACCGCGCGCGGTTTCATGTGTTGCAGAGTAGTGAGAGAATGATTAATACCCCACATGAGGACGCTCTTCAAGGGTTCGTTGGCGCGGAAGAGCTTTAACTTCTGTCGACCGCCTTTCAACTTCTTCTGCTTCGACTGGGTCGCCATGCCTACAGGAAATGGGAGGAAGAAGGGATTAAGGTTGCAGATCCTGTAAAGTTCATCATATCCGATGATAATGCAACGTAACGACTAAAAGAAGCAGTTAGGGCAATGGATGTATAAGACTGGACGCTTCACCCCGACAGTTTGGGGGGTGCCTCGCCTTTTCAGTCACAAAAAGAAAGAATTTTTCTTGTTTGCATTTAGCCTTGCAATTGTCAATGCTAAAGAGGGTGCTAATGTCAGCTTGCATACTTTTGGAGAGAGCTTAAGGGGTCTAGTTTACATATGCTCCACACTTGGTAGTCAATACATCTGACTACATGGATGAAAATATCTGGGCTTCAGCATAAAACCCACGAAAGTATGAATTAGTCTACTCGGTAGTGCAAGTGTTAATACCACATCGAGAATAAAAAGCTGCACTTGATTGGTTAGTCTTCATCTAGGATAACTGGTGTAATAGGTCCCCCGAAGACAACTCACCCCTTCGTGACTTGAAAGGCACAATTTACGTATACAGCTATCTCTAAAACGTTGATTTGCAAAGTAAAATTTCTCCTATTTTTAAAAACCAGTTTGGTGGTGGGTTTGCCAAGAAAAGCACAAATTAAAGAGCGAAACCTGGAAACAGGGCAGTATAAGCAAGTTGCTGTTACAAGCGGTGGACCACTGTCAATGGTGACAAAGGTGAAGTCCGTGACTGGGGTCTCATCGAAAGCGATATTACAAAATATGATGGGGTTACTAGTAGAAAAAGCAAGTAGCAATACTCGGGAGCATTTACTCAAATAAATCCCATTTTGAGATTATACCATAAACAAATTGAAAAATTCATTCCAGCCGATGTAAACAAAAGGATAATTCACTGATAACTTGTGTTAGATGTGGTTATTCCTATCCAAAAAAGTGGATAATTGCGTGGGAGTAAGTAAACAAAAAGGCACAGTGCAGTTACAGACAGTCAATGAGGTAGAAATTTCAAGTATATTTCAATGGCGGATGCAAGTGTAGCTGAAAACAGCAATTTTATAGGATAGGCCAATGGACCTGCCTTCTTCACTATCAATGAGCTGAAAGTTCGTTACGAAGCAGTGAGTTACTGCCTTTGCAAGCGCACGTTTCGACACGTTTCACCATCGCATTGTCGTCATACGGATGTTACGTCAAC